TCCCCGGGCGCCGCACAATGGCAGCCCAATGCTCCCCAAGGCGATGGGTTAAATCCAGAGAGTTAATAAAGGGATTAACTTTTTTTTTACATAAATAAACATTGTTCTCACAAACTATTTTAAGGAATTCTGCATTTTTATGTCTCATTCCCAGCAGTAGTGGGCAGCACAATCCACAGATGACTGCAGCACCATTTAGGGATCAGGTTAGGATGGGGGGTGATTTATATGTTGATAGGTTTTCTGCAGAATCTCTGTAAATCCCACAGGACAATCGGAAATGCTGTCATTTACAAGCTTTTGTTTTTCCTTTTTTCTGTTATTCTGCCTCTAATTCCCAGTACAGTTGAACAGTTTGTGGATTCCTTCATTTTTCAGGCCAAAGAAACGTCTGCGACTTTGTGAACTCTAAAATGAATAAACAGCTGGAGAAAGGGAACAACAAAATAACATGTTCTCTCTGTGAATCAGTCTCCCAGATGTCAGGTAGAGTTCAAACCAGGTCAGGGCGGCTTACACAAAATCGGACTGTTTAAAAATAATGTCAGCAGTTCTTGAGAAATTGATTAAAATCTCCAAACCTGTTGACTTGGATCGGCAGAACAAAGGCCATAAGAAAGTTATATAATTAAAGTTGTATCTTTTATTACAATAAAATATTTTATTGGACACTTAGACTTATCCTCATGTAACCATTTGAAATCCCACATAAAAAAGAAAGGTTTTAGTTTCAATCAGAATTGTGCAGAAATGTGGAATAACAGCGGACCTCTCATGTAGTTTAAAAGTTCTTTATTTTCCTGTTACTTTATGTCATAAGATGGTTTTCCATAAAGTAAGAAGGCCCAGTTTGGAAACTTCTTTTAAAAATGAAACTAGTTTTCTTGTATTTAGCAATAAAAAGAAGGTTTAAGATTGTAAAAAAAAAAAAAAACAAGATCTGAATATAAGTTTTAAGTGTTTTAATGCTGTTAAGGATTAGTTTCAAGAAAAGCAGACAAAAGAGATTTTTTTTATTTCAAAGCCGTAATTCAATTATTCTTGTTAGGAATCAGAAAATTTTTCAAATCTGTCTTCAGCCTGAGTGCAACTCCTTGAAAAAAACAAAGCAGACTAGATGGTGAAAAAAAACCCAAATATGTGAAGTATTTAAACTCTAATATTCTAAAATGTAACACTATTCCTAAAAGACAAATAAAAAAAGCAATTTGAATGAAACTCTAGAGTCTAAAGATTAAAAATGTTTTAAAAAGGTGAAGGCTGTTTACAGACCATTTGGAAACTGTCAGAGTCCTGGTCTGTTTGTTCCTCTTTTTCTTGGTTTTCCATTTGTTGTCCTCTGCTGCCCTCTTGTGTCCTCCCTTGCTCTGTTTCTCTGTTCTGCCTGCACCTGTTGTCAATTTCCTCGTCAGCTCTCTCTTTGTCTCTGTCCCCTTTAAAAGCCCTCCCTCTTCAGTTCCTGTTTGCTGGATCCTCGTCTTACTTCCTGTCTATCACCCGCCTGCCTTGTCTCGTCTCTCCCTGGCTTCTGGATTTGGTTAATCCCTGATGTCTCCTTGGTTCTGGTACGTTTGTAATTTTCAGTTGGACTCTGATTCCTGCTTCTGGACCTGTGAACCAAAATAAACAGACTTTAATTCACCTCTGCCTGCTGGTCTCTGCGTTTGGGTCCTCCATACAAACACCGCTTCATGACAGAAATATTAGTTTTGGGAATAGGAAAAGATAAATTACCAATCTAAAATAAGCAGCGACTGCTGCATTTTTCTATTCTAATTTAAATCCGTCCTCAAGATTAGGATGAGCTGCAACACTGAATCCAAGCTCAATCATTAGTTGAACCGTGTTATAAAATGCTGAGTTCAGTCGTTTTAAGAGAGAATAAAAAGCATGCCTATGAATAATAATTCAGCTGTCAAATGCAGGATGGAAGGACTGCCCAGGTTTTTTTAGCTGCAAAGGGAAAACCCTTTTTCCACAAAAAAAAAAAAATCCTTTTTTTTTTTTTTTTTGGGCTCTCTCGGCTCCCAAAGTCTAGCTACATTTCTAAGAAATTGTTCATTCAATTAAATTCAATTTATTTATTGCACCATTTCACAACAAATTTAATTTCAGGTCACTTTACAGTTCACATACATCACGCACAACCAGTCTACCTGGCTGTCTGTTTCCTGGACGGAGCTGCGTTTTATAGCTGCCTTTTGTATCTATGCTTCTTTTTCTATGTCTGCTTCTGTCTCCTTGAACCCCAGTGGGCCTCAGCAGATGGCCGCTCACACTGAGCCTGGTTCTACTGGAGGTTTCCTCCTGTTGAAAGGGAGTTTTTCCTCTCCACTGTCGCTACAAGCATGCTTAGTGTTGTAAATTGGAGCTTTACAGATAAACTGAATTGAATTGAAATTTTTACCTGAGATGAAGACGGTTAATAATAATAATAATAATAATCATCATATTAAAATAATGCAACTTAAACTAAATCAGATCATAGTGTACCAGTTGGTAAACCAATTTTCACTTTTTAAGTGAACCGTGAACTCCCAGGCACACCCTCTTCTCTGAATTATTTCCTCCAGTTGCTGACAGGGCGGGGTGGGAGCATCCCGTCTCCAATGGCAACCCGATAGATTACTTCCATCAATATTCACGCTGTCGGTGAGCATAGGCGGATCTACTGGGGTGGCATAGGGTGGCAAATGCCACCCTAAATGACAGCCTTGCCACCCCTGCTGCCACCCCAGTTGGCGGTAGGGGTAGCGAGGCTTATAAATTATGGATCATTTGAGAATTACGACCGCTAATTTCTAATGTCGGACTGCAGTGAATGCAGCACGAGATGACGCGAGAGCGACTGAGACTGATTGTTTTGAAAACCGAATGAGGCAAAGCGAGGGAGCCAGGGGTGATGGGGAGAGGAGACACAGGATGAAACTGGTAAAAACAGATCAACTATCTATCGGGAAATTAAACGATAATGAAAGCACAATGTTGCTAGCATAGCTGCAGTGCTGATTTTGAGATGATAAAAATCAGGTTGCAGAACGTTATTTCTCTATCTATGATGTTAGTTAGGCCTGACGTCTCAGGCTCATAAAGACATATTTGCAGTCAACTATGACAGAAAAGAGACGATCAAGTTTGGTTGAACTCAAATCAAAAAGCAAAAAGGGATTGGATCTAAATAAAGTTGTGAAGCGTTTTGCTGAGCAACATGGAAATCGCTGCATTCAGCTGTTATAGTCATGTTAACTTTATGTTATGATCTCCGGTGAGCCTTTACAGAGCTGTTACATTTTGTTTTGGCACCTGAGAAAATCTGATTTTTCCTTTAATAAAACCAAAAGTGTTAAAAGTTAAAAATGTGATACTGGTGTAAATCCTGCTTAATATGAAGCAGTGTTGTTGTTTCTTTTTTGTATATATAATATGAAACTATCCAGAAATGACCCGTATGAACCTACTCACAAGCAAAATGTATTTTTTATGTTGCTTCTTTTCAGATTTGTGGAGATTTTGATGTAACATACAGAACCCGCCTTTTTGTTGATTTGTTGATACAGCAGTATGGAGGACCAACTCTACCATATTTAAAAATAAATAAACAGTCATAAAGGTATATAACTGTTTTTATTTCTTTGCCTCTTTAATATTTACCTTATTTATTTTTTTGTCATTTATTATCTTCAACTTCATTTTTTTATTACTTATATTTAAGTATTTATTTATGTGCATGTTATCATATTTTTGTCTGTTTTATTCTTCCTTTGTATTTTTTTACCCTAGTTATTTCTTCGCTGCTATTTCTTTCTGCCTGCCATTATAATATAATTTCTAATTACATTTATTTGTTGATTGTATTTTTGGTGGCAATTATTTGTATGCTTATTTATTTATTGAGCATTTATTTATTTCTGTATTTATTTTTAAATATGGCAGAGTTGGTCCTCCATATACAGCTCTATCTACAGCATATCTACATGCATAAAATGTCCCTTTCATGTTGCCTTAACTGCTGTATGTCAAGTTACTGAGGAACAAATGGGGTAAATGTGTGTTCAGAGTAAACATTACATGGATGTCTGGTACCTTGTTCGGGTGCCTTGACCCATTTATTTCTACTGTGTAGTTCTGCTCACTTTATTCCAGCTCAGTCCATAGATCTCTGATGGGAAACTTTTTCCTTCTATAGTTTCTTCTTGTGCAAATGCTGCAAAGCTGCCTCTCTGACAGTCAATCTCACACATCTGCGACTCAGCACCTGTGTCTTACCTTAATACCTTTCCTGTCATAAGGCCCCTCTAGAAGTAGTGTTATCATTCTTCTATCTCCTATTAAGTGAGATCACATTATACGATGTATTATTAATATGAACTGTTTCACATGAAACACTAGTACTGTACATACTATTCTCACCAAACTGTGATAACTGTGATTAAATTCAGTGTAAACAAATGCCATATGTTGCCACCCCTAAAAAAATCCTGCCCCCCTCTTGCCACCCCATAAATATTTTTCTAGATCCGCCCCTGTCGGTGAGCAAGACGATCAGCGGTGTGAGCGCACTGTGGATGTATGCACCAGTTAAGTGCGTGTGCGTGTTCACCTTGCGCGGGTGTTTCGGGGAGGTGGAGATGCTGCTTTGTCATTGAGGAGCTCAGCAGCAGCAGCATTCTCCCACTCCGGCACGTCCGACTCCCAGCATGCTGCATCCTGATGCGCTCCCCAGCGCGCCCTGTCAGCTCACATGGATTTACGTGTTTCTCGTATTTTTCCACTTCGGTCTGTGCGTGTTGACTAAAGCGGCTGCAGACCATTGACTCATGTCAATGTTTAAAGCGGAGCAAAGCGGCGCGTCCCAAGAGTCAGAGAAGATAGGAGCCATCCTGAGGATGCGCCGTCGCTGCTTTGCCTCCAGCGGGAGCCCAACTCTGTCACATCCATGATTTATCCCTCTGTTTTCACGCTCCCTCCTTAGAGAGCATCCTGTCATCTGTTTGATCAACATGGAAAGGTTCCAGTCTTCCATGCGCAAACGGCTCTACAGCTTGCCGCAAAACATTGCGCAAAGAGCAACTGTGACTGAAGGCGAAGGCGACAGCGGCGACAAGGACACTAAAAGGAAAAGTATTCGGCTAAAACATTTGTCCTCTCTGTCTCCGGCAAGCAGCTGCAGGAGCATCGAGGAGGCCAGGAGCGAGGAATTGGAGAGGGACGCGTCCGCGCTGAAATCCAACTTGAACGGGGACTGCCGCTTCTCCCGGAGCAGCATCTCGTCCATCACCGGGAGGCATCCTCCGGACTCGGATCCCGCGGAGCAGCGGCGCCTCCTGCCCGAAACGGAAGCCGGGGCGAGTGAGAGTTCACCTGGGGAGCCTGGCCCCGGGGCCCCGGAGCGGGCACCGAGTCAGCCGCCCGTCTTCGACCCGTCAGCTTTCATCAAGTTGGAGGGATCGGATCAGATAATACCCGAAGATGAGCGACTGTATCAGGCCGGCTTCATGCACCGACAGTTCGGGGCAATGCTCCAGCCCGGAGTCAACAAGTTCTCCCTGCGGATGCTGGGCAGTGAGAGGGCCGTGGAGCACGAGAGGGAGCGCGTGAAGTCTGCAGGTTTCTGGATAATCCACCCATACAGTGATTTTAGGTAAATCATTACTGCAAAAACTGGATTAATAAGCTGCATTAAATCTATCAAACAGTTCTAAAACATTTGGCCTTAATTGATCCTTAGAAAATAAAAATATAGAAACACTGTTGCTGTTTTAATTATAGAACCTGATCAGAAGCATGGAGAATAAAACCCAAACGTGTTTTGCATTTGAACTGAATTTTGGGAACATGACTTTTTTTTCCAAGCTTCAAACACATGCAAAATAAACCCTTACAAGTAAACATTTGATGTTAGAAAAGGACTTCAATTGCAAACAAAATCCTCTTACATCCTGGTGGTCATTGTGCTGCTCTTAGAGCACATAAGCAGGGTGTTTAAGCTCTTCTTGCTGTCCGGCCTGGAGATGTGTGGGCGTGAATGTCCATGTTTTTATTCACACATGAACAGTAGGACCTACCCAACCCCACTATGTCCTTATCAGTTTTTAATGCATCTATCTATCCCATATTTAACCGCCTCATAATTTCCCCAGCCTTGCTGCACACTCCCCCTGCTCTCTGCATGCACGGACCGGATGTGTATCACCACCATCCAGGGATTTTCATGACATATAACCTTGAGGCTCACTGTCATCATATTGTATGCTGATGTGTGTCACTGCAGGGTTTTTTTTTTTTCTTCCCCACTCATCTGAATTGCATTTTTTCCATGTTTTCAAGCTAAAGTAGAGGATTACAGAGAGAGGAGCAGCGGCTTGGAAATGGGGTAATCAAAATAGGGTAACATGACCATTCAAGATATTAGAAGCAAACATCAGTGGAGATTATTACAGCACAATTAGTCTAATGGAGCAGAATCGGTGTGGACAGGGAGGGGATACGCCACACAGCATGGACAGACAGAGAGGGAGTGTAGAATAAAAAGAGAGAGAGATTGAAATGAAAATGATGTGAGGAATCAGGGCGTCCAGCTGTTAACTGTGAACTTGTTTTATGCTGTGTTGGTACCTCGTGGTCTGCTGGGTCATGTTTAGTGTTAGGATGAGGTATGGCCTCTTAAGGATCTAAGATGTTTGCAGCTCTAAAGATTAATGCAGGATTTTGTTTTTGTCTTTCATCAGTAAGGCTATGCTGCAGACACTCATCCTCATTTGCAGAAATATCCTCCAGAAGGTGAACACGCAGTCAGTGGTGGTTCTAGACCAAATGAACCAGGGGGCCAGCGTGTTTTTCGTTGGGGCACAGAAAAGCATGAAACAGGGCGAGATTCAAATATATTAAGAGAGCTGCAGAAGGGAAATTTCTATTAAATTAGGTTTAATTAAAATTCTATGTCTTATTAAGTCAATATGCATTAAGAATTTGCAAAATTTTGCATATTTTTGACTTAAAATAAAGTTGTAAGTAAATAATTTTTAAATGTCAAATCATTCTGGCTTAAACATGTATATAAATGTGCTCTTTATCAGACCATATTTTCCCATTTTTAAAAAAATCCTGTCTTAAAATCTGTGCTTTTTTCTACGTTATCTTCTGCAGGCCAGTTAGTTCTACGTCAGCCTGAACACCCAAATTCAGCCAATCATAAATCAACGGTCATCTGTCAATCAAATTTTTTCAGTCATAGCATCTTGATTCATGTGTCTCAGCTAATATACGCAACGGTTGAAATCAGAATCCTTTCCTTTCCCATTGAGTTGCGTCCCAGTGTTCACGGGGATGGACGTCTGTGTCTTCGGCAGGCGTAGAGCTAACAGAACTGGCAGCGTTGCGAGGCAAGGGCTCAAACATGGACGGCTGGAAGCCTTCTACACCAAACCAAGCTTCTGCCGCCTTGGCTCGTTACTTTAGTTTTGAATCTTTTCAATGGAGTTACCGTTATTATTTTTCACGTCATCAATACCAAATTCAATCTAATTGGATGGGAATCTACGTTGCATATGACGCACCACTACAAGATGAATCGACAGATTCGGCGGTATTCATTGGCGGCAAATCATTGCAGCTTGGTGGCGGTGGCGTTAGCATAGTAGCATGGACGACGAGATGATTGAAAATGAACACAACGGAGATCCAGTCCTATTGGCAGACATCCATTTAAAATGTAGGCAACGGCATGAAAAAAGTGGTTTCTACTTTTACTTTTATACTTTAAGTAAATTTACAAGCCTGTACTTTGTTACTTTTACTTGAGTAAAGAAGTTTAATCAGTACTTCCACTTTTACCAGAGTATTTTTTAACACAAGTATCTGTACTTTTACTCAAGTACGGAAAGTGAGTACTTTTGCCATCTCTGCCGCTTCCCTACGACTTTAAGTTAAAATAACCGTTTTGTATAAAATCTGAATTAGAACTCAAGAAAAACTAAAACATTCAGCTGTAAAAAAATTGATTATTTGTTTAATTTGTTTTGAAAACAACATTTAGCAGATGGAAACTGGGCTCCTATCTCAATACCACTGAAGCTATTACCCTATTTTTTTTTTTTAATAATTAGTAAAACAGAATTTCTTTAAAGAAAAAATAATGAATTAGATCCAAAAGACCTATCAGTAACCATGTCTCTTCCAGTGCAGATCATCATTAGAATTTCTTTGAGTAATACACTATATTGCCAAAAGTATTTGCTCACCCATCCAAATTATTGGAATCAGGTGTTCCAATCACTTCCATGGCCACAGGTGTATAAATTCAAGCACCTAGGCATGCAGACTGTTTTTACAAACATTTGTGAAAGAATGGGTCGCTCTCAGGAGCTCAGTGAATTCCAGCGTGGAACTGTGATAGGATGCCACCTGTGCAACAAATCCAGTCGTGAAATTTCCTCGCTCCTAAATATTCCACAGTCAACTGTCAGCTGTATTATAAGAAAATGGAAGTGTTTGGGAACGACAGCAACTCAGCCACGAAGTGGTAGGCCACGTAAACTGACGGAGCAGGGTCAGCGGATGCTGACGCGCATAGTGCGAAGAGGTCGCCAACTTTCTGCAGAGTCAATCACTACAGACCTCCAAACTTCATGTGGCCTTCAGATTAGCTCAAGAACAGTGCGCAGAGAGCTTCATGGAATGGGTTTCCATGGTCGAGCAGCTGCATCCAAGCCATACATCACCAAGTGCAATGCAAAGCGTCGGATGCGGTGGTGTAAAGCACGCCGCCACTGGACTCTAGAGCAGTGGAGACGCGTTCTCTGGAGTGACGAATCGCGCTTCTCCATCTGGCAATCTGATGGACGGGTCTGGGTTTGGCGGTTGCCAGGAGAACGGTACTTGTCTGACTGCATTGTGCCAAGTGTAAAGTTTGGTGGAGGGGGGATTATGGTGTGGGGTTGTTTTTCAGGAGCTGGGCTTGGCCCCTTAGTTCCAGTGAAAGGAACTCTGAATGCTTCAGCATACCAAGACATTTTGGACAATTCCATGCTCCCAACTTTGTGGGAACAGTTTGGAGCTGGCCCCTTCCTCTTCCAACATGACTGTGCACCAGTGCACAAAGCAAGGTCCATAAAGACATGGATGACAGAGTCTGGTGTGGATGAACTTGACTGGCCTGCACAGAGTCCTGACCTCAACCCGATAGAACACCTTTGGGATGAATTAGAGCGGAGACTGAGAGCCAGGCCTTCTCGTCCAACATCAGTGTGCGACCTCACAAATGCGCTTCTGGAAGAATGGTCAAAAATTCCCATAAACACACTCCTAAACCTTGTGGACAGCCTTCCCAGAAGAGTTGAAGCTGTTCTAGCTGCAAAGGGTGGACCGACGTCATATTGAACCCTATGGATTAGGAACGGGATGTCACTTAAGCTCATATGTGAGTCAAGGCAGGTGAGCAAATACTTTTGGCAATATAGTGTATGTCTTCAGTTCAGGGGCCAGGACATGATCTACAGGGGCACCAGCCCCTGTTGGCCCCTGTCTGGAACCGCCCATGCACACAGTGAGTCAGCTAAATACAGTGGAACAAATACAGTGACAAGAAAACATATATTCTCCCTTTACAGGCCTATTCCTTTTTTCCCCCCATTTTTGTTATACTCAATAATTAAAAAATCACATATTGATGATAATGAAAATTCAAAAAGTGCTTTTTGGATTATAATTGAGAAAGAAAATATTCACAGCTGCCAAGTTAAAAAGCAACTCCTCTCTAAACCCATGTAGCTCATTGTTTCAGTCGTTGCAGCAACAATTTCCCCCAAAATAACTTGCAATGATTATTTGCGATCAGTGTGGAAGAATTGTTGGTCTACTCTTCTTTACAGAAGTGCTGTGGCTCAGCATCTTTTTTTTTTATTTCAGAGCCTCTTTAGGGTCTTATTCCAATTTTTTTTGTTTGTTTGTTTCAGTGAGCTGCTCAGAGGACTTTCTGTTATGCTTTCAGTTATCATCTGCTGCAAAGCTCCGCCATGTTCAGGTAAACTGATGACTGGACATTATCTTTCGGGATTTTCTGTGGCAAAGCAGAATTAATCATCCAGATGTTTCAGCTTTCCATCCAGGCAGCAAAGCAGCTTCAGACATGGGCGGATCTAGACAGGGGTCAACGGGGGCCTGTGCTTCTGTATTTCTTTACAAATTCTGTTTTACTAATTATTTAAAAACAATAAGGTGATATTGAGATAGGATCCCAGTTTTCATCTGCTAAAAGTTTTTTTCAAAACAAATTTTAAAAATTACTTAAAAAAAAAAATTACTTAAAAAAAATTACTTTTAAAGATTAATTTTTAAAGCTGAATTTTTTCTTGAACTCCAATTCAGATTTTTTTTAGAAAAAGGTTATTTTAACTTAAATTAAATAAAATATGCAAAATTCCTAAATTCTGAATATATATTGAACTAATAAGACTGCATTTAAATTTAACCTAATTTAATAGAAATTTCACTTCATGCAGCTCTCATTACTGTATATTTGAATCCCTTGCCCTGTTTTTTTTATTTCATGCTTTTCTTTGCCCCCATTAAAAGACGCTGGCCCCCTCCTGGCCCTCTGGTACATTTGGTCTAGAACCGCCACTGGCTTCAGATCATTACACT